GTCGAAATATGATTTTGTCGAAAATTAATTTTGACTGATTTCGTTTGTATCAAATTATTCCTTGTCCAATTTAGGTTTTTTGAAATATCGCCAAAGAATACTTCAGCAAAATGTTATTTCCACGAAGCAAAAACCAGCCGTTTGTTAGATCAAATGAGACGACAAGAAAATATATAATTTATTTCGGGGATCGCGTTGTTAGTTTTCGCAGTGAGTAGATTGGACCGTTTCCACACCAAATTTTCGACGCAGGCGATTTGCACTACATTGAACGCTGTCGATTTTCGCTTGCCCTGCTCCCGTTGAACAGGATTTTCATGGTCTGTACACCTCCATATACAGTACATTCATTCCATCCAAAATCGCAGTATGCGAGCATTTCGTTCTGGAAAAAATTCGTTGTTAGGCGAACGGGCTATCAAAAAATCTCCGATTTGCTGCCAAGATACTTTGACAAATTGATCACCTTAAAACCCTTTCAGGAGCATCGTTTTCATTGGCAAAAATTTGAAGTCAACTTTTTGACGGATAATGCTCATAAACTCTTAATAGCTGGAAAACAGAGTGACTTTTTGTGAAAATCCTTACTCTTTGGAGTATTTCCTTGCAAATTTGATGATTTTTTTTGGTTAATGGCAATTCGATTTTGAATTTCGGAGGAAATATCAGTAGATCCACCAGGATCTGATCAAGATTGCAGGGTCCCTGAAAATCACTACATGAAGAAATCTATAGCCAGAAACCTTTCGTCTCAGGTCTTTCCCGAACCAGGGTGCTCGAAATAATGAAGCCGCCATGAACAATAAATTTTAATTTGATCTCTGGAAAATTACTCTGGTTATTCTTACCATTCCAACTACTTCCTACAGTACTCCATCAAAATCAACCCAAAAAAGGATGCTGTAAAATTCGGTGGTGCCTCGTGAGTTGCGATATCATAGTCGTCGAGATCTATATTTATATCAGTTATTCACATTTCCGGTGCGTCATGGATCTCATCATAGGTATATATCGAAAGATCTCATAAAGGCCAGTCCAGCACGTCTTTCCGATTTTCAAAATGTAAGCGGACAAACTGTAAAAACGCATAAATTTGAAAACCTAGCTTAATCACTCATGAGGGCAAAAAGGGTTTCCTTTTGCATGTAAAATGTCGAGAATCGAGAAAAATTCAGGAACAGACGTGCTAGACCTACCTTTGCGAGAACTTTCGATAGATGCCTCAATCGTAACGCGAGTCGGACCTCTAGCGAGTCAAGGCATAACGTAGCAGACGCATCCGTAGATTGCCAAAGTCGCCAAAATCATCGACCCAATTAAAATCGCCGTGTGATTTAAATTTCCCGTTGCGGAAGATAAATAATCAATAAAGACGCCTCCGAATGAAAGATCATCATCATATGTGTGATGCCCTGAAAAAACGAGATTCTCGGTCTGCTTCAGTCAACGCTTCGATCATCTGGGCCGGGCACTTTCTATTACCACGGACTTGATCATTTGCTGATTGACATCGAACGGAGGTCACAGTGAGAAATCACGCATTTCACCTCCTTTGCAACTGCCGTAGCCGCATTTCCAATTAAAGAACTGACCTACTGATGCTCTATTCATTTTTTGCGCAGATAAACGGGCGCAAAGTGGGAGCGGTTTTTATTAGAAGCCGCTAGGACGGAGAAATCACTCAAGATGAAGTCGTGGAAACCTGTAAAAAGAATTAAATAAGTAAGAATAAAAAATCGTTGTGGCTGACAAAATAAATATGGTAATCAATTACCGACTTGATTTAGAAAATAAAGTGGGGGAAAGGAAAGAAACCAATTAGGAGGAAAAGGAACCAAATCAAGGATGGGATTGCAATTAATTAAAATTAGAGAAAAAGCTACCAAATTATATGTAAAAAGTTAAAAACTTTTAACCATGCTGTTTGGCCTAGGCGTGCCAATCAAAAATTGACCCCTATCGGGATGATTTGGGCGGGAGGGCGTGCCATAAATGCCTTGGGGCGGTATCGTTTGCCCCAAGCGATACCCGGCCCCATTATCGGCCTTTTTGATGGGAATACGGTACATAGAGAATGAAGGAGGAGGGATAAATACGGGCAAGCGAAATTCGGTCCTGGACTGTTCAGGTCTGGAAATTTTTAGCGCGGGGACCACTTTTTGTCCTTGTTCTTTAATTCTCTTAATTTTCAATTTTTGAAATTTTTAGAAATTTAAAATGCAAGTTCTTTTAATTTGTTAAATCTTGAAAAGCGGTTACAAAGTGATTGCAGGGGGGCATGTATGTTTGTTGGTGCGCCAAAAAAATTCAAGTCAACTGCTTAAAAACCTATAAAACCATCAATATCTCTGCATTTAATAATAAAATTTCTCGAATAAATATATATTCCCTGGCAATGAGCCAAAAATACGCAAAGAATTTTGCAACAAATGTTTTTACAGGTATTTCTGTATCGATTGCATTTCACCCCTTCAGCGCCAGAGAACGGACGCGGGATTGTTTCCTAAGTTCAACTTTGAATAATTTTCTGGATTCCAATTTGACTGTTCATCTATGCTATGCCATTTTGATGGAATAAATCTTTGATTTCAGTGTTTTCATGTATACAGTGTATTGGACTCAGATATTAAAAACCTTCATGACAGCACCGTAATAGAAAAAAAATGGGCTTGTCGGTTTGTTTAGATCGCTAGATGTTGGAACTAGATGGCAGTGGTGCGCGTGTTGGTGATGTCTCTAAATTTCAAGTCTATCCATGTTTTAAATATGTTTTGAAATACAGGAGGAAAATGACTTACTTTTCTGTCTCCTTTTTGGCGTTGAGCCGTCTTCCAGAGACGGTGTAGCGGGCGATCGTGGGGGCGACGCGGTGCCCCTGGGACTTGGGGAAATTGGTTCAGAGTTTTTTTTCTCATTTGAACTAGCTAGGCCCTGCTCGAAAACTCCAATATCACCTAAAAACGATTCTTTATAAGGCGCCTGCCCCAAGCAAGCAGCCCGGGTTCGGTTTTGCTCCACGGTAATGGCCTACCGTAACTACCGATTGCGATCTCAAGATTAGTTTCAAAATGACCTTAGTTATACCTTTAATTATAAAAAAAAACATACGCATCCACCGGTAATTGAGCAGCTCGTCCATGGTCCACCGGATAGTCTCGTGTCCCATGAGATTGAGGATTATCTCGGAAAACATGTGTATTGAAAAAAATTGTGCGAAAAAATGCTAACAAGGAGTGCCCCTTTTTGTGGCATCGGCAAAACCTTCGGTGACCTCGCTCATTCGATAGAGAATTGAATTCTGAACAAGATACAGATGTTCATTTTTGCGGAATGGCTATATCTGATTTTATAAAATTTTGAAAACGGCACCCGAAAGCGTCTCTTTTCTTTCGAAAAGCACTCAGGTTACGGGAATCCACTAGTTTTTTAATTTTTTAATATCGTAGACAGCCATTCCGCAAAAATGAACATCGGGAGCTGTTCAGTATTGAATTCTCTATCGAATGAGCTAGGTCGCCGAAGATTTTGCCGATGAAACAAAACAAAAAGGGCACTCCTTGTAAGACTGCTAGCTAAAAAACACCGTGAGCGTGCGGGTCCTGAACTCTCGGCAAGGAGGCTTGCTCCACCAGCATTCGGTAGCCCTCATCGGATCTGAGAAATTAAGTTATCAGATGACCAGTGGAAAAAGGCCGCTTCGCGGCCCTTTCCCACTGGACCCCGTCCAGGAACTATGAATTCGAATACCTTCTTTTTTTAGCCTGCGGCGCAAGGACCTGAGTCAATGACCCAATCTTTGGCCTGCGGCGCCAGAGCCTAGGCCAGGTACCTTTTCTTTGGCCTGCGGCGCTAGAGCGAGATCCAAACCTAAACGCGCTAGAATCTTTTTACCTGCGGCGCTAGTTACTGGTTTTTCTCCCAGATTTGGTCTGCGGCGCAAGAGCCTAGCTCAAAAACCCATCCTTGGCCTGCGGCGCAAGAGCCTGGGCCAAGGACCTTTTCTTTGGCCTGCGGCTCTAGAAGCGAGAGCCGGGCCTAAATCTCGCGCACCCAGAGCCTAGAAATATGTTTTGTTACCGAACTACCAAAAAGCAAAAAACTAAATTCTCACGGGATCCGAACTCACGATCATGCGCATGGTAGACCGGGCGCAAATCCATTACACCATCCGACAGATGGGGACAGGCGGTGGGATAGCCTTCTTCTGTCCTGGGGAAAGCGGCGGGGAAGGCAAAGAAAAGGGCAACCCAATGATCCCCGGAGGGAGGCCTACTGGTCACATTACAAAATTCGGTTTTCGAGTCTCAATCAGCTGAAAATTTGCAAAGATAATAAGATGCGCGTGATCCCCACCCTTGACTGCATAGACGGTCAAAATTCCAGACCGAAATTCCATCTGGGCTCTGAGATATGGCCCGGACACCACGGCTCTTGGCCCACTTTATTAAGGCCTTTTTATAAAAATGTTCATAAAAACTTCATTTTACAAAATCTGACAAAACGCAGAATTACATATAGGGGGAATTCCATTCTCAATTTACCCTCCAAAAATTAGCGCCCAATTTCATTTAGATCGCGAGATATCCTCTGTACAAACCTTTTTTGGCCACAATGTTAAGGGTTTTACACTATTTTTCTTGTAAAATCGTTAAATTAAGGAATTTCGGAAAACAAAAAAATGCCTATAAAGCGGATGTGTTTCTCCGCCTCCATGCCAAAAATCAGCGCGAAATTCGGCCTGACGGCCGAGAAATCGGCTGCACAGAAAACAAACATACTTTTCTCGCTTATAGGATAGGATATTGCGAAATTTCCGAACCTGTTCAGCTTGTCGTAAATGAGTTCACCCGTCAGGGTGACGTGGATAGAGACCCCGAGGTTATTAATGTGTGGATAGAGTGCGATATCGTGGATAGAAAATTCCCAGGCCTGAGTAGAAGCACCCAATCGTACCCTCCTGAGAAAAAACATTGTAAAAATACTCAAAATTACCTCCATCACGATTTTTTTTCCTGCTTCTTGTCGTGTTTTTCGAACAGCAGGAAATCGACAACGTCTTCAACTACTTTGCCGTCGTGCCAGATGCCGTTTTCGTCGAGATTCGAGAACCTGAAAATGGTAAGCTAAATCGACACAAAAGTACCTTGTCTCGAACGATCTTCCGACTATCCAACGATCTTGCAGCTTCTTTGTGCGGTGCTCCTGATCAACAGGATTGGTAGGTTGAACGGGTTCCTCGTCTGGCTCTTGATCGTGTCGCTCAAGACGTCCTCCTGTGACCTTCTCGCCGGCCCACAGTCTGAAAAAAGGGCTTGTTTTTCGGGGGGGGAGTACACTTACGCATCCGGAGTGCATTCCTCGCACATTTGGTGCATGAAGCAATGCGTCGCTTTGTGGGGGATGTCGATCATCTCACCATTCACGTACTCTACGACCTCGGTCTCGAAGTCGAGGACGATTATGCTGAAAAGTTGTGCTGCTGTATTTTGCGCTTGGAACTTACGTGTATCGCTGAGTCTTGTAGCGTGCTGCGGGTTTGTCAAACGCCGGCGCGAAGATACAATTGTGCTTAATCGGCTGCATTCCCATACAAGTGTGGCAGAATCGTCTGAAAATATAGTGATGAAAAGAATGGTGGCATCCTACCGATCGCACATGTGTGCTTGCTGTCCACCACTCGTCGCATCGTAGTAGTAGTTGCACTTGGCGCAGAAGAACCGCTTCCCACAGACTCGATTGCGCAGATGATGATCAAAGCATGCTCGGTTCGTGAAGTCCACATTGCAGTGTCGACATTTTCTTCGGGCGCCTGGCTCATTCTCGCACATCTTTCCCGGTATCTGGCAATATGGTATCGGTACAATTTTTTTGCAGCAAATAAAATAAAACTACGTTTTGTAGTAAAATCCATAGACATTTCCCATCCCTTCCCGATCTCTTATTTCCACAACAGAACCCTTGCTCACATTCGAATTCGTGTTTGCAGTCTTGACCATCCTGAACAAACGAGAATGTGAGTAGAATATCCTATCCTATAAGCGATAAAAGTATGTTTGTTTTCTGTGCAGCCGATTTCTCGGCCGTGCGGACGAATTTCAGGCTGATTTTTGGCATGGAGGTGTGTAATGCCATTTATGAGAAACGGTTTTTTGGATTTTCCGAAATTCCTTTATTTACCCATTTTACAAGCAAAAATGTGAAAAATCCTTAACAATCTCTCGAAAAATCGGTATGTTCAGAGGATATCTCGCGATACCGGCTCAGTTGGGCCTTGGTTTTTGGAGGGTCGAAAGAAAATACAATTGTCCCGATACTATTTTTTGGATTTGTAGAAATTCTTTAATATAAGCCTTTTATGATTATTTTTAGAAAAATTCCTTTACAAATGCCTAGCGTACCGTGGTGTCCGGGCCGTAACTCGAAGCCCCGATGGAATTTCGGTGTGTAATTTAGACAACTAATGTATTCGATAGTGGGGATCACGCGCATCTTATTAGCTTTACAAATCTTCAGCGGATTCAGACCCAAAACTGGGATTGCGTAAAGTGGCCTCCCACAGGTAGGATCGTTGGTCGCCCCTTTTTGCCCCCTGCTCCCCCGCCTCCCAGGCGCCCAGGACGCAAGAGGCCTTTCCCGCCGCCCGTTCCCAGCTGCCCCGTGGTTTAGTCGGTTAGCGCGCGGTCGATCACGCGGCAAGCCGTGAGTTCGGATCCCCGGCGAATTTAATTTTTTGCTTTTTGGTAGTTCAGCAACAAAACATATTCCTAGGCTCTCAGTGTGCGATATTTAGGCGTAGCCCTCGCTCTAGCGCCGCAGGCCAAAGAAAATGTCCTTGGCCCGGGCTCTCGCGCCACAGGCCATTGATGGGTCCTTGATCTAGGCTCTTGCGCCGCAGGCCAAATCCGGGGGAAAACCAGTAACTAGCGCCGTAATCAAATAGATTCTAGCGCGAGGTTTAGGCCTGGCTCTGGCTCTAGCGCCGCAGGCCAAAGAAAAGGACCTTGGCCCGGGCTCTCGCGACGCGGGCCAAATCCGGGGGAAAACCAGTAACTAGCGCCGCAGGCCGGAAGATTCTAGCGCAACGCTGGCCCTGGCGCCGCAGGCCATAGAATGGCTCTTTGACTCAGGTTCTTGCGCCTCAGGCTAAAAAAAAGAAGGTGTTCAAATTCATGTTTCCAGGACGGGGTCCAGTGGAAAAGGGCCGCGAAGCGGTCTTTTTCCACTGGTTGACCATAAATGGCTAGTATTTCCTAAAGGATCCGTGCTAGCCCGCTTGGGAGCTTATCCGAATCGGGCGGAAAATTTTCCCGAACAGCGTTTGCTAGGCTGTTCCTAGCTTTTGCCGAATGAATTCGAAGAATGTGGCGAAAGTTGCTATAATCAAACAGGTAGCATTAATAAAATATCGGGCTTAGGTATTTTTCGTATTTTTCGAAATATCTCACTCATCGCATGAAGAAAACGTTATAAAACTAACATCAGCATGTTTGGAAACGGCTCTTCTAGTCCTCTCAAATTGATTGGAGATTAAACCGTGTCTGAATTAACATCAATAAACTGCATTTTTTTCGCTTTACCGTAAAGCGTCGACTACCGACATGGCAAAAATAGCTAGAAAAAGAGCGAGGAACTGCAGGGAAGCGCGCAGAGTGGAATGTTGGGGGCTCACTTTTAATCCTCCACCGCACGCTTTTACGAATATTTTATAGAAATTAAGGTATATTTTTGGCATTCTTTATGGCTTTCCCAGCTACATTGTTATACGAGGATTCAACCAAATTTTTTGGGGCAGATCGACGGCAATTGTAAATTTTCATCTATTTCGAGCGAGGCAACAAGAAGTGAGCTGTTTTCTAGCCCATCATTTCGATTTTTCCGATGCTCCTAATTCAGTATATCGACCGCCTCTTATCGAGCCGTTCCAGCTTCCCCCCCGCAAGAAAATGGGCCGCCGAAAAAGATAAGCCAGCGACGGGGCTTCGTTTGGCAAACTAATTTGACCTTTCTATCCTTCGCAACGCTTTCAATTCATACTTGAATAATTAATACATAATTTTTATACTTATTTTTTAGACAGTGACGTTGAGATGACAGCAACTGAAGGATCTGACCATCTGTTTGATGATATCGACTCGCCTCCTTTCTCGCTCCCATCCACACAATCCAATTTGGCTAAACCTGACGACAGTCGCTGCCTTGGTCGTGGTGGTTTCGGCGCTGTATATCGTGAATCGAGGGATGGAAGGTATGAACCCTCATAACAAGTAACTTGTGGTTAGAATATTGTCCAGGAAAAGGAACCCTTGAAGGTGTTCGGTTCATTCACTAAATTAGGGCCGTTTAATACAGCGTAGTTCGGGCGTAGCTTGAATCAAGGTCGAACCTAGCCGCCCAGACGCTTGTTTCCGCAATTTTAAATTTTTTTGAGGATTGTGGCTGTCAAGCGACTTAAATATTCTCCTCATCCCACCCACCTCCGCCGTGAAATCGCAATTCTTGAAAGGCTTTGCCATCCTAATATTGTGGAATATATCAAATATGAAGAAGGCGATGGAGGGCAACCAGGAAACATTGTCACTGAATATTGCGAACGTGGAGACCTAAAAAAATGTGAGTACGGGATAATCCGATGTAGCCGTCTGTTGGAGGGTATGGCAAAAAGAGTTTCTGGTGAAAAACATAGAACAAGAGATGCCGTAGGCAACATTTTGGCAGCGAGTTTGCTACAAAAAGGGTACACTTCTCTCAAGGAAAGACTCCTCCAAAGCACCAGATGGTTTAAAGTTAAAAAATCATTTTACGGATTTTGACGGACCCAATATCCCCTTTTTGGATAACATTCTCTTTCCTTAGGAACTTGTATTTTTATTGTTGTTCTAGTCATAAACAACCCGAACCAAACCTATTCAATTTCTCTTGTGATCGATTGGGCATGTCAAATATTTGATGCATTGCTCTGCCTATACAGAAAGAGCATCTTCCATCGTGATATCAAACCATCAAAGTGAGTTGATCTACAAGAAGTACATGGAAATTCTCCAAGTTTAGTATGCTTCTTGGAGAAAAGTATCAACTAAAACTCTGCGACTTTGGCCTGTCAAAAGCGGAACTTACAAATAATTCCTGGTAAGAATCCCTAGGGCCCCTTTTTCCTAATATCAGGAATTTAGCTATGGAGTGCACGGTACCATTCGATACCTAGCACCAGAAGCGTTTACCGACCATAAAAATCAGCAAATCGTAGGTCAATTCCATTGTTCAAAAAGCTTTTAGTATACGTATGCAAGTGATCTCTATTCTGCCGGTTTGGTTCTCTGGGAATGTATCGAAAGACGGTAATAATAAAGTATACCTTTGGGGTCTGTTAGGTAAAGCCGAGGTTGGAGTTAGGAACTTCCGAATAGAGAGTTTTCCAGTTTAGAGCTTCATGAAAAAAACCCGATTTTCAGTGATGTCTTTCATGAAACTGTCGACCATCGGATGCTCCAGTCGCGTATTTGTTCGGGGACGCCGTTAGAAAGAGCGAATTGTCTAGCCCCTGTCGCTGATTTGATAGAAAAGTTTGTTGACTAAATCTTTCCGTTATGAAAATTTACAATTAGATGTGCTCAACGTGTGCCACAGGATCGACCCAGTGCGGCGAAAGCACGCAAAGATGCAAGGCGCTTAAAAGGGGTTGATAGCCTTTTTGGCTTATCCACTCTATCATGAATATCAGGAGCCGATTTATCGAATCTTCGACAAATGGCGGAATCATACTATAGCCGTCCCAGAAAATAAAGTACCATTGCCTGTCATCGGTAGATGGGGCGACGTGCCGGAAGAAGAAAAAGTAACTTTTTGAATATCGACGAGAGTGGTTGGATTACGCCATCTACATACATGGTGTTCTGAAAGACATTTTGGCTTTTCACGGCGGCCATTATATAGTTGTAAAACCCGAACGGTAAGGACAAAAATTATTTTAGACACCCTGGTATACACGAAAATACCGTTGTACAAAATGTAGAAGTGATGGGCATCCAATCGAGGAAATGTTCCTGGAACAGTCTAAATTGGAAAATGAACTGAAAAGAAAATGGAAAAGGGAATGGAGGCCGGATGTAGAGTTAGAGTTGTCTCGTCGCTACGTGAGTTTTGTCATATATTGCGGAAATAGCTAACCAGGCGAACTCGTTGATCGTATGCAGCAAGGGCTGTCAGAAGCTACAAGGTTCACAAGATCAGCCAATAACTCCATGGATTTCGTTGGAGGAAGCACAGGTTCTTGAAAGCATTAGTGGTTCTGAATCCTAATAGGTACTGATTTACACGAGCGTTATGCAGAAATGGATTGATGCGATAGTTCGACCACTTGCTGACCAACTGGCAAATTCCTTTCCGATGGAGATAACCGCAATTACGGCCGTTGGTTGCTGTGTTTTGTAAAGATTTAGCGTATTTCAGAAAGAACAGCGTCTAATGGGCGCAATAAGAGCTGCCAGTAACTGCGAAGAGTTCGAGATGGCTTTCAACAAACATCACGACTTTTGTCTCAAATATCACAATTCTCTCGTCGATATTCAACGGCAAATGTACAGCGCTAGACTTAATCTTGAGGTCTGACAATGTACAGGGCCAACAAAAGGCTCGCGACACTTGCGGCGCAGCATATATTTTTTCAAGTGCTATAAATTCTGCATGTCGTCGCAGATTTTGTTTTTAATTATTGTATTTGTGTTCAAATTAAGCGCAACCGTAGTCTGAGCGTCCCTGAGGGCGTCAAGCAAGGTGGGCTGCCGCTCCACTCTTTCAAAAGCGAGGCGCCTGGGCGCTTCGCGCTCCTCGGATGCCCCGATTTCGAAACCCTGTACGAGCTCTCACCCATCCGAAGCCACTAGGCCTCGGGTGGCACGAAGCCTTTTTCTAGTCGCAGAGCGGAGGGAGTAGCGGCCACTCCTCTCCAAATTGGGTGACTTCTGTCGAACACCCGACTTTTTATAGTTTTTATCGCCAAATTCCAGACATGGCAAAACGGCCGTTCCGGGGCTGCTCTACGGCCGGGGCCGGCCAAGCGGCTTTTAATTTGCGTGCGAGCTGGCCGCGGCGGGCCGTTGCATGATAATACGGCCGGCCGTGCTTGTCTACGTAGCTTTCAAATCACGTAAATTTTGTACAACTTCTGTGCAGGCGTAGCCCAAAGGCAATCCATCGTTTTGAACATCGAAACGGAAAATCCTGAATTGCCAAAACTCGATTTCGAGAAAAATTTTTTCACTATTATGAAAATTATTTTATTTAGCCCTTTCGACACTTGGCATGTCGGTATTTTTCGATGTTCTGTCGGTAGGAGCTATGCACTTTTGCTTTGGCCTTATTTCGCGGTGCGCAAGTCATCAGAATGGTGCCATGATAAGGAGATCCGGCCGGCCTTGGTTAGATTCTTCAGCCGGCCGCGGCCGGCTGTATCCGGCCGGACCGGACCGCGGCCGTGTACCATGTCAGCCAAATTCGGAAGCAGCGTATAAAATAACTCTCTAAACTATTTTTATCCAGCTAAAACTAAATAACCGCAAGTGTCGCGCCGCAACTGCCGCGGTACCCAACAAAAGGCAGTTTTCGGTCGAACAGTTCCTCGTGCATTTTTTGTGACAAGTAGTATGCTAGGCCTTCATTGTAGACGCACTTATAGCAAATGCTTGATGACGTCCAAATCGGGCACGAATCAGAAATTGATGCACAATCAGGTTCGCCATATCCATCATCATTTCATCCCTTTTAAGAACCCGAAATGCATAAGATATCCCCGATGTCAGACCTTGATTCTAATGAGGTAGCACTATTTCCTGGCTTATTTATTTTTCCTAAGATATGTGGGTTATTCACAACTAAAGTGCCGTTGTAGTATATAATTCAGCTCACATCTTCTGATGAACTTCGGAAAATTGTCGACAAAATAGGAATTGGCAAAGAAGAGACAGTGGATGATATTGAGAAATGGATGAAGGAAGTGATCAACGCTAAGCTACTTGTGAGTCGATATTTTCACATCTATAGTTGCATGATTCTAGCCAGAAGAATTCACATCCGAACATGGATTTCGGCTGGAGTTCCGGTAATTTGGTAATTTATATTACAAAAGCCAAATCTTAGAGACATGCTTGATGAGTTGAGCTTTGAGCATGAATTTGAGAAGGGAAAAACGGATCTTCACGAACTGTATTGTGCCTTTATTCAGACGATAAGTATTGAATTGTCGTCTACAAAAACTTAAAAGGAAATCAGGTCACCGAGCACCTCTATATACTTCCTTCTCTTCAGCCCAATCTTCTGATATCAGTGGGATGATGAATATCCTTCATTCTCCAATATTCCGCGTAAGATTTTACCTTTTTTAGGGTATTGAAAGTCAGTTTGTTAATTTATACTTTTCGGGGTTTTTTTTATTAGAATCATTTGAAGAATTTAGGAAGTGTTGTCGAGAACCAGCTGCTGGTTTGCACTCCTCAGCAATAAAAGATATCCATCCGAGGTATACCTTCTTACCCCTTTTTATATCCATCCGCCTTGCAGATGGATGTTTATGAATGGGTCGGTGTATGGAAAGACCTAACGTTGTGGGGTAAGTGCGTTATTTTTCTATTAGGTGGTGATAACATTTCTCATGGCTATTGCTATGGGATGTTTGCAAAAACTGCCTTTCCAAATATTAATATGGTATGTCATTTGTCTTTTGGACTGCATTGAGTAATTTCTGAAGCGAAGCTTTTACGATACGTTCTGTAATATGATCAACAGGTAATAGGTCGATAAAGGATGGGATCAACTTCTCATCATTTGTCATTCGAATTATACAGGTAAATGATGAGAATAGACAACCAGATAATAATTCGTTTTAGAAACTTTTGAATGGAGGGACATCAGAGGGTGAGGGAAATGGCATCCACCATGGCCCCTGGGTATTCTGAATTCATCCAAATCTATTACATTTTTCTGTTCAGCATTTTCCATTTATCGGTGAGAAACAGAGGGCTTTTGAGGAGAAATATAATGTTCGAATTCTGCTCATTACATACGAAGGGAGGTAATCATTAAGCAGTTATATTTTCGAAAACAGCCATGCAAGTGTCTTGTTTATATTTACACAACATAAATATTTATCAATTTGTTTTAAAATGTTTTTAATCACAATCTAATGTAAATCACAAACTATAAATAATAAATCTTGACAAATTCTCAAAATTGAAAGTTGTGGATTTTGACTTGGCCGGTGGATCGGCGGTTATTTTTTAATTTGCGATGAATGTTTTTTAGGGAAGCGAGATGGTTCTGGATCTTCCCTAGCGACAAGGTACTGTATTTATCGATATCATTCAACATCAATTCCAGCCCGACGCAGCTCTATGCCTTTGGTATGGTTCGTCTCGGTAGGACTGCATCTCCCTTCAGCTATAATATGAAATTGCACAGATGGTTCCGCATTGCCATGGGTTCTTCCTCCAAGTGTCTAAAATATGAGCAAATGGAGGTCAGTCCCATTCATCGGGGGTAGCGGGCCACGCCCCGAAATCTTGCCGGTCTAAGGGCTAGGCAACGCGGCGCTCCTATCGACTCAAAAATGTATGGGGCTAAAACTTTGAAGGCTTATATCTTGAAAGATATGGCCGATCTTAAAAAAACGCGAATTCCAGTCTTGTAGAAGGGAACATGGCGATTCTAATGATACTAAGCACTAACAAAACTGAATTTAGAAAGTATGCTAACGAAGGCGGTTTTGGTGGGCGACTTTGTGAAAAGTGGTATTTCGGAGGGCTAACCTGCTGTCTTTGGTATCATTCGAACCGTAAAATTTTACTCTGCAATAAATAATATTGGCTTTTCAATATTAAGTCGGTTTGGAAAGGTTATAAGAGCTTAAACCTTTTGACGCGCGCTACGCCCGGCTCCAATTGACGCTTTTGCCCCTCCTGGCGAATTGCCGTTTTTGGCCTGTTTGATTGGCCGTGGGGCGTAGCCCGCTAACCCCGTTTGGTTTGAGGTACCCCCCATACGACTCTTTTGGGGTCCTTTTCCGGATTTAAAAAAGAACCATGCATCGGATCGCCAAACTGAATACACCATCGGAACCGGCGCCACTTTTTGCATACTATAAGCTTTTAAAATTTGAAAAAAGTGGAATTTCGAATTTTAACAGCCGATTTAAATTGCGTTTCGAGGGGGGGGGGGTCTGCGTTTGTATGTGTGTGCGTACGCAAAACCTTTGTAGTCGTCAAAAAGTGCCTTCCCATTGTCCGTTTGGGCTGAAATTTTCCAGATATATCGACTTGATGTAAATGAAGGTGAGGATGAAGCGCTTTTTTTAAATAGGCTTTTAAAAAATTTATCTTAAATTTTTAAGTTTAAAAGCTAAATTGCGGTCAAAACAAGGATTAGCGATGTCCGTTTGGGATGAAACTTTGCTCAAATATGCATTAGACCATGCTGGAGTAAGTAAAGAAAAAATTGCATCGAATGAATGCTTCTCCTTTGAGTTATTATAACTTCAAACCTTCGCCATACGGGGCGCCACCCCCCCCCCTTCTCGGCACCCGGTCCCCGGTCAACAGGGCGGGTCTAGGTCCTCGAGGACAGACCTGCAGTCTCCCGGTTGGCCTAGTGGTTAGCACGCTGTACTGGGAAGACTTGGCTCCCGAGTTCGAACCCCGCCCGCAACATCGTTTTTGCCGATTGGCCCGAAAGCATCGTTAAGGTTTTTAGTACCGTTACAAAGCGCCGCAGGCAAATTTTTTTTGAAGTATTGCGTACAAGGGTTTATCTGAATAAATATCCCTTGACTTATTCTATGATCTTGACAATAGAAATGAGGCAAAAAGGGCTAAATTCTCTCTAAGGCTAAAAAGAGTCTTTTCACAAAAGGGCTTTTGGTTTTGCTAAAGAGATTAATTCTCGTGGCAACAAAAAGTGCTAAATTCCTTTCAAACTCTGTTCTCTCTTCCTTTCAACTTTTTGTTGTTCCCACATTTTGTGGCATTTTTCAGAGTTTGAAAGGAATTTAGCACTTTTTGTTGCCACGAGAATCAATTTCTTTTTGCGAAAACCAAAAGCCTTTTTTGAAAAGGCTCTTTTTAGCCTTAGAGAGATTTACAGCTATTTTCGACAGAATAATGGGACCACCATTCTAGTGGCATATGAAAAGTATTGGGTTGTAAAAGAAGTGGAAATTTCAGTTGGGAATCATTCCAAAAGATGAGAAATGGAAAGTGACATCGGAGAAGATTAATGAATCGACTTATAAAAGGACATGGACACCGGATGAAGAGGGGGAAGAGACGTGGATATGGACGGTTTGTCCGTTTCCATAAAATACTTGATTTTCCAGGCTAACTATCGACCAACCTTCGATGATATCAATTGTTTCGATTGTCTCAAGGGTCCTCTACCAGATATGTCTTATTGTAGCGAATTTACTGAAATGTGCTAATCGCAAAATTGTTGTCTATTTCTGTAAGATCGAAACCATTTTCCTGCAATTTTTAACGTTGCCCCAAAAAGCCAAATTTTAATTTATACGCTTGCCAAACTAGATTTTTTTGCATTTTTCTTAACTTTTGTAGTTCGCTTCGATAGACGCAATTCAAAACGTATACATTTTTATACCCGCATTAAAATATACCCAGAAAATTAACAACCAAGAAAATAGAAAAGAATCACTATCGACCGGTAATCTGGAGCACGTTTTAGCATGCCAAGACAAAATTCCATAAAGTGCCCATTTTTCGATTTCAGACTGTTTTCTGGGTGATTGTAAGAATTAGGAATTAGGATAGTTGGAAACAAAAATGCTCCAGTCCCAAAGTAGCTGGGCCCAAAAGTCGTAATAAGAATCCATCGTCGCTTTTTTGTATCTAAAAATATTTATTGGGTTACATAAATCAAACATGTGAAAGAAAGCGAAACATAAAAAATACATAGAGAGACCGAGAGAACGAGAGAACGAGAGATAGAGAGCAAAAACACTCAATACGGTGGCTGGTCATTGTCAGAAGCATCTGCAGGGTGAAGGGCCCACCATTGCATCTGATTTTGGTAAAGCACGGGCTCAGCGGGAGTTTCCGGCGCTTCTTCCTCAGAATTTTCAACATCCTGTGATGTTTCTGGGAATCGCTCATAGGCATTTTGAGAGAGGTGAAGGTCTAGTGAAGGCTGACTATCCGGAAAATCGAGATCTCTGGCAAGCTTGATCCAGCTTTCAGAATCAAAAAATTCGTCTTCCCAATGATTCATGTCGGGAAAATGAGGCGTATTCGAAAGAAGGAAAAAAAACGTAGCAGTCGCGGGGTTGGCTGGTATAGTTGAGGGTGACCCGGCTGCCCGGTGACCTTTTAACCTCCCGTGGTTGTGAGCGGGGTCTTTTAACGACAGTGGAGAAGTCTGGGTCAAAGAAAAGAGGTTGTTTGTTTTGTGTTTGCCAAAGAGGGAAAATGAATCTTCAAAGTAATGATCTGCGAAGCGTGCCAGCAGGCTAACATTCTGGAGCGCTTCCCAGGCAAGACCGGCTACACCTCCACGACTTCTGCTCCCAACTCAACTGCCGCGACTTCGATGCCCAACCCAACTCATTAAAAAAACCAAAATCAATATCTCTGCATTTGATGATACAATTTCTTGAATAAATTTATTTATTTAAAAAACCGTTGCAATTGCACATCATCGAAAAACATACACTTCATTCACTTTATCAATCGTTGTATTTCGGATAGATTGGGAGGGACGGGAGCTCAGCGAAGGGGTTTCCTGAAAATCTTTGTATTATTTTTGCGGTATTAGTGTCATGACTTAGTCCCCCATTACACTATTGTAGGCAGACCGTCTCTGGCACCTGACCTGCGCCGGCTCACTGACCCTTCCTATCCTCTCTCCTCTCATTCTCCCTTGGTCTATCTGTCTAAGGCGCTTGCCCCAGGCATGCGGTTTTGCTCCGCAGCTATGAGCTACCGTAACCACCGAATGCTATCTCATCATTAGTTCCATCCTCATTTATCTACAAAAAACATACGCATCCATTGGGAGCTGAGCAGCTCCTCCACGTTCCACCTGACGCTCACATGACCCATGAGCCTGATGATTATCTCTGAAACCACGTGTATAGTAGAATTGTGCGAAAGAGCTACTGAGTCTGCTATCTAAAAAAGCCTACCATGGGCGTGCGGGTCCTGGACTTTTGGAAGGGAGGCTTGATCCACCAGCATGCGGTAGCCATCGTCGGCTCTGAGAAATTAAGTTATGAAATGCTATTGCGAAATTTCCGTACCTATTTAATTTGCCGTACGGCAGATCGGCTGTCCGTCTTCGAACTGATCTGCCGATATCATCTCAGTTAAACGCTGCTGCCGGGGATCGGCGGGGCCACCGTAGGCGGGAGGCCCAGTGGCGTGGGGGCCCCATCGGGGCTCTCGGGCCCATAGCTGGTGGGTGGCCATCGGGGGCATAGCTGGCGGGTACCCCGAGCGCCCACATGTCGGCTTTTTTTTTCCGTGGTACGGTTCCGATCCCACCTCCGGGGACATGAATCCATGCGTCCTGCAAAATTCGCTTGTTGTGCCGTTTTTGGTCACCTGTGTGAGCCCCGTGTCGCAAATACGGACAACGCCTAAAAATATATTTACTAGTCTAGTCTTTGGTAGGCAATTCAATATAGCATTACTTACCGTTGAACCCGTCCACGAGAACATTCTCGGGTTTCACATCCAAGTGAACGATATTCAAGTCGTGCAAGGCCATCAAGCCCGTGCTCACCTCGCGATATATGAATACTAGCTCATCCATGTTTAGGCCGCCCCATCCGTCTATAGAAAATAGGTTAACCTAATTCAGTTTTACTAGCTTACACTGACAATGTGAGAGGTCTCGCCCTTCGATAAAGTCCATGTAAGCCAGATAGGAGTCAAGTTGATCGATATAACGGATCTCTTCAAAATAATTTCCTCATCATAAAGTTTTTTTAAATAACGCACCTCGTATCGTGACTACATGCTTGTCAGCTCCACTGCTGCGGAGGAGTTCTGCCAATTCCAGCTAGAATCAGAAAGTATTAGCTAGTTGTCGAAAATTACCTCATCGATGAGGCCGGTGATCTGCCTCTCCCTGTACTCGTCGTCCGCGTCAAGCGCGATGCGCTTGACGGCGACGGTATCGCTGCCCTGTCCCGGCTGCCAGGCATAGACCTCGCCTTGTCCACCTAAATTTCAAGGTTATAGGCTGGCAGATCTAGCTTACCCTTAGCGACAAAGCGGATGCCCTCGCGGGCTTCATAGTCGTTGGCCGTAAGCAAACACGCACCAATAGGGAAGGTGCCAACGCTTCCCAACAATTTACACATTTCGTTTTTGAAGAATAGAAATTGAAAAATTAGTTGAAAGCTAAAGGAAAAAATACTGACGATGCCGGTGGTCGAATGGCAAGTGGTTTGCCGAATGCAGGTGATGAAGCTTCATCCGATACCTGAAGCTGCGCTCCGCCCATCGTTGATTAATTACCGGTATTCCCTCCTAACGCTCATTAGTCAAAGGCGCCTCCCCCGGGCCCTTGGTCTCATCCCCTATCCCCTGATATTTAATTTATCGCGTAGTAATCGATGGCATCGCGGATCATGGGGGCTCCTGGGCCTCCTTTCTTCATAGCATCGTTCAGCCTCGGGTAGACCTTGATCCTAAAAATCATGGATTTGCTTGATGATGAAATTGAACATATAAAAATATATTTATAAAATCTTACCTGAATCCCAACTCCTCCTTGTGTGCGGATGTATAGTGGGACCCTTCTACGCGATACGCTCCACAGTCTGAAATTTTTATATAGTGCATAATCACTTTCGAATTAATAAAAAATAAGGAAACTTACAGGACGACCGCACATTTTTTTGTTGTTCTCTTAGTGCTTCGTGCGAGCTTTTCAGGCCCCAATCTTCTAACGGCATTCGCTTGATCTCGTCGATCATGGATCTAAACGGATCAGTCAATCAATTTTTTAAAACTAATTTTTACCGAATTTCCATCATTGCATTCTTTCGGGCCGCACGTCTTCGAGGAGGTCGGGGTGCCGGGGAGTTGCCAGAGGTGGCCGACCCAAAGAAGTCGTCCCACCCTTTCATTAGGGCCTCCGGGTCGATATTCTCGACCCCTTCCGCATCCGCCTCCACGTCGGGCTCCGCCACGGCCTCCGCCTCCGTCGCACGGGAGGCCCTGTGGGGTCCCGATCCGCGATGAGCGGCTTCATCTCCACCGCCTCCACCGCCTCCTCCGCAAGCAGGTCTGCCAAGACACTGCTGCCGGTGACCGGCGATGGTGGCGCAGGCTGGGGGACCAGAGGCGTCGGTGATCTCGGGGCTCTCGGGCCCATGGCTTGCTGGGGCACCGCAGGCTGGGGGCCCCCTGGCCTCGGGGGCCCCATCGGGTGCGGGTGGCCCATGGCTGGCGGGCCCAGGGCTGGCGGATGGCCCATCGGGGCTCTCGGGCCCATGGCTGTCGAGTGGCCCATCGGGTAGATCGTCGGAGCGGCCGGGGGCGTCGGACTCAACATCACCGATGCATGGCGCGTTCGGGTGCCGGGGTACCCATCATCTGCGAGGCGTTCGGGTGTGGTGAAGCGCTCAACGGCGCTTGCAGGGGCATGGTCCGTGACGTGGGGATCGTTGATTGGTTGCAGAAAATGCTCGGGCTTTCTGAAAATACCCTCATTCAAATATCAGGTTGGAACGAAAGTTCTGTCGCCGAGATTTTGGAAGGCTGGCTAAAATCGTAATTAGCTTCATTCTGCACATGCGATATGTCATTTTGTAGCTCTCTGCCTGAACCGTTTCGGGAGGAGGGTCCTAGACCGCCAAAATCCAGGAGGGCCGAGATACAGGCCCAAGAAGATTTTTCAAAAATTAAGCTAAAGTGTTTTTGCAAGTTATCTCTGCATAGAGAGATTTGCATGCGATACCTTTAACGCCAATCGATAGATCGCAAGGAGTAGATATCGATAGATTTTGAGATCATCAACATCGGACACCGGATGGCCGAGATATGGTCCCTTGAAATTTAGCCCATTTCTTAGAACTTTTCCCGAAATCCCATACATTTTGTCAAAATCCGCGCCGCTAGTCCAAAAAATAAAGCGGTAATTTTCGGCACCTGTCCGTCAAATGTTTGAAATGTATGGGAAATGAGAAAAGTTCTAAGGAATGGGCCAAATTTCAAGAGTCCATATCTCGGCCATCCAGTGCCCAATTTTGATGATCTCAAAATCTATCGATATCTACTCCTTGAGAGCTATCGATTGGCGTTAAAGGTATCGCATGCAAAGCTTTCTATGCAGAGATAACTTGCAAAAACACTTTCGCGTAATTTTTGAAAAATCTTCTTGGGCCTGTATCTCGGCCGTTCCTGATTTTGAGGGCCCAGGACCCTCCTCCCGAAACCGTTCAGGCCGAGAGCTACAAAATGACATATCGCATGTGCAGAATGGAGCTATCTACGAATTTAGCCAGCCTTCCAAAATCTCGGCGACAGAACTTTCGTTCCAACCTGATAAATCTTTTGAAGCAAGATGCAAAAAAAAAAGGTTATCGATCGCATGAAACTGAGGGTGAAATGCGACTAGTTATGACTAAAGGAATTTCAGTGTTCTAGATTTGATGAGCCAAGGTTAAAGGTGCAGTCCGCTATTGAACTGGCTAAGATCTGAGACAAACTGTGTTTTAGAATGCCACGTTACGGTATGCGCTAAAAGTGGGACAAAACCGAACCCGGAACAAAGTTTTTACCTTCCGTTTTTACTTATCGAAAGCGGGCCCATCGGATGCGGTGGGGCCATTGCCGGCGGTGGGGCCATCAGCGGGCGCCCAGCGGCGGGGGCCCCATCGGGCCACACGGCCGGCTCCTTGGTGAGCTTTTCTAAAAATAGTGTCATTCGGATAAATATTTTTAAGCATAATGGGGAAAGTCCATCGACCGGACAAAACCGTGCTTTAAATTCGACGGAGAAATTTTTCCTCAGTAATTCCGTACGGGCCTATAGAAAAATCCAGCCATTTTTATACCATTTTAAACGGTTTTTGGATAACAAAAAAAAAATGAAAAATTAGAAAATTTTTTGAAATGTATGAAAAATCACGACAAGGTTTAAAAGTTTTCGAATTTTCAAAATTCTTAAATATTTTTTTGGACTTACTAGCAACCAAAAACCGCTAAAAACATCATAGAAAAATATATTGAATATTATCAGCCGGTAGGTTTTTGAGGGAATTTCAGGAAAAGCTAATTTTCCCCCTCTAAAAATCCCCCACCCCCTGCTAATAGTTCAGTACCGACAATTCACGTAAATTTTCAAACTAAAACTTGTTCTATATTAATTGACAGGGTCTTTCCGGTCCTTGTAAAAATATCAAGCTATTTACATTAAATAAGAGAGAGCCAGGGAACCGGCTAATCCGTATGTGATTATCCAAAAATTAACTAAAAATACACAACAAATGCCAATGCTATCAAAAAAAGTAGCGATCAAACTGATGAGAGGCTGATCTGCAGGCGACAGGCGGAGTATCACCAGAGGGGTCATCTTTGTCAATATTTTTGACAAAGATCCCACGTTTACAGCCATGCCTACATCATGCTCATTCCCCCCGGCAAACCTCGCATCGAATGTTTTACAAGTTCCCCGCTCCCTTGAAATCGAGGGCTATAAAAACATCTACCAAACGGAATATTTTTAGCCCACAAAACTGTTGATAAAAATGAAAAAATTGATTATAGTAAATTGCGTTAAAAATAACAAAATTTTAATCAAGAATTCAAGTGTTTTGGGCAATGTTTCCGGTAGAAAACTAAGTGAAACCGGGAATCTTTACTATATTTGAAATTCACTCAAAAAAAAGGTAATTTCCGGTCCAAAAAATATGTTTTTGTAATTTTTAATGACGGATGGTAGAACTTTGAATTTCAACTAGAGTAAAAACGGCGTAAAAAAGCTTTCTGTCTACATATTAGCACAATTCTGATTTAAATTGATGAAAATCCTTTGATTCAACCTACCAGTTTTTTTTGATAATGTCGTTTAAATCCAACATGCTGTTAGGTTAATAAATATTCCTTCGTTAGCCAGTTTTCGATGTTAGTTAGCCGTGTGTGCCTGATTCATTTCCGAAAATAATCCATTAAACTAAGGTTTTATCGATTCGGAGGCTATAATCTGAATTGTTTCTTGAAAACAAACCCTATTATGCTATGCGCGTTGTCAATACAGTTTAATCCATTGTCGTTCGTAGTTTAATCCATTTCTAAAAATTTCATGAATTAAATGAATTTCAATTTGAATGGAATTTTATTTCATTTTTTTTTAATTTTTGGTGCGAAACCAACTTTATCATACATTGTCAATTCAGAGAGACGAGTGCAGAAATTGCGCTCGAATGCGCAGCGGTTTTTTCAAGAAACCGCTGGCATTTGGAGAAATCACCCAAGATGAGGTCGAGGAGACCTGAAATTTATAAAAATTAATTTTACGAAAATGCGGTATGCAATAAATAATTGAAAAAATAATGAAGATGTGAAGTGGGGAAACGAAAAAAGCAAAGAAATTTAGATTAAGGCTGAATTCCTAATTATTATGGATCTATAGATTATTATTAAGTACCGTACTTCCTCTAATATAACCCCAAGTGGCATTAATTTTTTATTACCTCAGGAAGTGGATTGTATTTTAGAAAGAGGGATGTATTTATGTGATTTCGAGCAATTTAACGATTTCTGTAAACGTTCAAACTGCTCGCAACTTAGCAAGAGTAGCTTACACAAAAAGTTTTTGGGATTTTTTGCTCTTGAAATGTGACTGGAGAATTTTGTTAAGGTGGGTTCTAGGAAATGCGGTATGTAAGATTTGAAGGGGTCTTGTCGAGGGAGGGATTCTAGGCATACTGCTGTGCTGAGAATGACCGGGATTGGCACGCTTTCGGCGGAAGGACGTACCATCTGCGCATCGGCGAAGGCACGCCCCGACCGGAAATGATAACATTTTCCAGAAATTACTAATACTACTTGACAAGTATGATTTAAAGGTTCTGGACATGCTTGTGGGGAAAATTACCCGGATTGGCATGCTTTGGGCGGAAGGGTTCCACATCTGCGCATGCGCAAGGCACGCACCCAGGACAGGTAATGATAGCATTTGATCGCATTAATTTTTTGTAAGTACATATAATTGCCTAATCAGGTTCAACCTACAGCAATGGTCTAGAAATTTGAAAACATAGCAATTCACAATTAGCTGATGTAAGCTGAGTCAGTTACATAGGAAAAGAGAATTAAGAAGGCTTTTTGTTTTGATGATTGTAAAGCTTGATTCCCGGCCGCTGAAATAGTCAGTCAGTCTGAAATAATATGCCGATCGCTGTGTCATTTTTCTTTCATTGTACAATACATTGGCCATTATTGTTCTGCATGGCTGATTGGAGACGGACTAAATGGAATTATCATTTTTGCATAGAAAACAGATCCAGTCTATTCCGGTTAGCCGTTCCGGAATATAGTCCCGGAATAGAGATGAAAACGATTCCGGGAATTTCCGTACCGATTCCGGGTCCGTTAGGGGTGGTCCTTGGTGGATGCGCAGATGTCACGCCATCCAGCCCAAAGCGTGCCAATCGGAGTAATTTCCCCGTCAGTATACCTCGAATTCCCCCTAAAACCCGCGAGGTCATACTTATCTGGTAGTATTAGTAATTAGTGCGGTAAAATATTTTCATTTCCGGTCGGGGGCCTACTGTAGCAGATCAGCAGATGGCGTGGCCTTCCTCCTGAAGCGTGCCAATCCAAGTCATTTCCCCTCATCAGTATGCCTCGAATTTCTCTTTAGACCCATCGAAAAAACCCTTTAAAGGGATAAGGAAGACCCAGGAAAAATTAGCACAAAACGTGCTTCAGTTCCATAGCATAAAGGCTTCTCTATTCCCTCATGTTTTTCCATACTCTCTACCCATTGTTTGCATTAGCATGTCCGCTTGGCTCGTTGCCAATTATAGATGAACCCTGATCAACTGGTCCTTCCTGGTCCCTTTAAATCTCCAACCGTTGATCGGCATTGGCTCTTTTGGTATATTTTTGGGATTACCCTACGATCGTCGTTGCCTTTTTACAAAAGTACCTAAAAATTTTAGATTTCCCAGTTTTTGGGGGTGGACCTAAGTTTATGTGAAGCACTGTATAATGCGCAGCTCTCGCGAACTTCGATAAAGCTATTCGCAATAACAAAATGTTTTTTTGTTATTTCGAAGAACTTTGTGGCAGAATCATATTGGGTTTCATTGCAGCCATGAAGGGGTAATAATTTCCAGGCTTTTCAGAAACGTTCGTTCATGATTTTTGTTATTTATTCAAAAAAAAATGTAATTATTTGCAAGGCGGCTGATCACAAGTTGAGATGATATCGCACTGGTAATCCAGTGGTCCAATGCCGGTTATAGTTTCTAAAATACTTAGCAATCGATGAAATTCAAATCTTTACTGTTGTAACCATCGGGGCACAGGTACTCAAAGGTTCCTTCCTTGTTGACGCACTCCGAGTTGGCGAGGCATGGTTCTTGCAGGCATTCATCGATGTCTGAAGGGTAGGGTAGATTTGGGAGCAGAGAAGGTATTTTAATCAGATTCAGAAACGATATTAATTATACTGAGCATTCAGCTGGAGCTACCTTTGCAATGGGTAGCATCGACCTGCACATATCCATTGCTGCACTGACAATAGTACGAGCCGACAGTGTCCTTGCATTCGAACGGCTTAACATGATTGCTCGCAAAGTGTCGAAAATGTTGAAACTCACTGTAAGGTGTTTTTACCCAGGCTGGCGTTTTGCGATGGGACCATGCCTATTTTGTGTAGAATTTTTCGCTGATTTCGAATCTGTTTTCCAAATCTGCTGATGGCCTTTACTTACAATGTTATTCGACATTTATACTAGAAAAATTGCCAAAATCTGGCTTTTTTTGCGCTAATTCTGTAAGTTGTCGTCATCTTGAACGTTAAGACTGGTTCGATTGCGGTTTTAGGCGTCAAAGCACGATTTTATGCAGGAAAATGGTTACAGCGAAGGCTTAGTGTTTTTACACCAAAAAATTGTTAGAAAATTTTTTATAACTTTTTGTCAGTCTAGGTTTTCTTTAGTTAATTTTTGCAGGCCGTTGGAAAACAGATTTGAAATCAGCGAAAAATTCCACACATGCTAGGCTTGCTCCCATTCCAAAACCCAGCCTGAATAAGTAACACTTTACAGTCAGAAGGTCGAAATTTGAAATCTGGAAAAATCGTAATGCTAACGTAATGTGGACTCTCGTATTCTCAAAATTCGCAATAACGAAATTTCACATTCCCAAAATTCCGTACCTGATTGGTGACAACGTGAACCGGGCAAGGATTTTCGGGCTGGCATTCGTTAATGTCTGAAAGTTCCGAGTTAAATTTTCACGGTTTGGCCGACTTTCACATTGATACTCGTTTTCGGTGATCGGCTGGAATCCGGGCTTGCACCTGCAGCTGTAGCCAGCCTGCTCATCCTAATTGTTGGATGAAAATAACATGAAAAGAGCATGGCATACCTCGCAAACAGTCGATTCCCTATCGCATATGTCAATCTTGTTGGCGCAGTCTTTGATGCGCTCGCAGGTCTGGAATCATGAACTTCGGCTTTTGTTTGACTCGAATATAAATATTTCTGTTAAATTTATACTCCATGCATGGAAACATTCAAAAAATCAAAAATGTTTAGAAAAAGAAATTTTCGGGTGGTTTCTGGATATTGGCCTGGGTGATGGCCGGCCTCTCTAGCAACTTTTTAGTCATCATAGTTGGGTTAGTGTGTCTTTGTGTGGTTTAATTACCAAGACAGGCTAAGACACACCCGAAAAACGTGTGACTTTTTCATACGTTTTCGATCGCAATAAAATTTCATCGGGAAATGTCATTGATTTTTTTGGATTTCCCTGACTAAAAACTGTCAAAAAAAAAGTCCTATCAATCGCGTAGATGTATTTGTATGGGTCGTATGGAGCCTATATGTCGAGTTCAAGTTCCCACTGAATCCACTGGCCCATGTTCAATACCTGGTTGTCCATCGACCCCTGTGGGTGGCCAAAGTTTTCTTCGCAGATGCAGATCCAAGACCCATCTGTGTCCTCGCAAAGCCCTGCCATCGCGCCGCACTTGTCCTGGTCGTAGCAATCGTTGCTGGGGCCCGGGCACAGACACTCGTTGACGTTGTTGCACTTGTTCGTATCGGAGTCCCATTTGTACCCGGCCGGGCATTTGCAGTTGAAGCCGCCGATGGTATTCTGGCAGACGGCCTCTTTGGGGCAGACGTTCTCCGAGTCCTCTTTGCATTCGTCGACGTCTAAAATTAAGGTTCAAACTTTGGGCAAGGATAGTTGTCGAGTAAAGGTAGTCGCCGAGTTACACCAACCCTGGCAGGTCCTTGTAGTCTCGTTGAATCGGAGGGCGTATTCTATACATTCGCAAGTGACATAGTGCGTCTGGTTGTCAGGCTATAAAAAAACTCGACTTCAATGCCCGTTTATGCGTTTATACGGTGGTAACTCCAGACGAGAGTGCTACGCATTCCGACTCGTTTGGACAATCCATGAAGCCGTATTTCGGATCGCAGAAGTCGGGCACTAAAGTTTCCGTATCACGTTTTTCGCCTAGATATAAATAGCGAGGTGATACTAAGTATGATCATTCTTCGTAAGGTACTTGCAACAAGAAAAACTCTAAGCATGGTATGCAGATTTTGAATGAAATTTTCAGCGTATTTTCAACAGACTACCTGGGGACGGCGTCGCGGTTGTAGGTACAAGTGTTGGAGCAGGTGTTGGTGCTTCAGTGGTTGTAGGTTCTGAACAATCAGGGAGTGGAGGTGTTTGGTAGTGCACAGAGGGTGCTTGCGGATGCGGACCGTCGTAGTTTGGTGGTGGCGAATGATAGGGCGCCCGATAGCTGCCCGAGCTGCCTGTAAGTACGTAAAGCTCAAGGAGCTATACTTTTCATCGCGCTAAAAACTAGCCTAAAACGATTTACCTTGCGGCGATGCCGCGGCGCGCAGCACTAAAAATTTAGATTTAACCCAAATTTTCTGACAAACCGAAGTCGGAAAGGCCGATTATCCAAATCACCCAAGGCGACATGATTAAGAATATAGCATTTTTATTTGGGCTGTCGACTTTTATAGAGCAACAATTTCAGGATCCCACCAAATGTCTGCATACTTGAGCGGCTAGCTGAATGGGCTGGTTACGACCTTCCCAGTACTTTTCACCCAAATTTCGGGTCATCAATAGGCCAAAAGTGGAGGGCACTACCGATTTATCGGATTCGAAGATCATCCAGTGCATTTTGGCTGTTTTTGAAACTATAGTATGTATGGTTTTGAAGAAAGGACGCACGTTTCCGTTACCAGCCAGCTCGAATTTCCGAAGCAAAACATCCAGACAATCATCCCAAATTTCTACCTGCGTCATTTGATCGCCTGGTTTCCGGAATAGAATAACAGAGTTTTTGAAAAAACGCTCTTGCAACGGGAAACAGGCAAATTTGTTTGATTTTATAAGGCCACAAACATTTTTCGAAGTGTCAGACGTTCTCACCCGTTTAGGTTTTGTCTTTTTCCTTCCGTATCGGAACACAAAGAGTACACCGTGGCACTGCCTGTCCCCCAGGCCGCTTTTTGGTCGCTTTCAAAAGTTAATATTTAAATGTTTCCATAAAACATCAAAAATTCAATTTTCGCAAACCTAGTTGCCCTGAATCGCTGAAGAATGGCTTTTGCACGAATCCGAACTACAGTGACCAAGACAAGAAAAATATTGCCAGTTGAGCTGCGGACTCTGCGATCGCCCGAAGTCTGTTCTCAAAAGTAGTTTACAAAAGAATTTATCATTTTTTATTTTCACGAACAAATCTGCCTACTGTGACCCCTTTTAGCTGCGCGAATTGGAATGCCAACGGCTTTGCAAAAGTTCCAGCTACACGGAGGAGCAGAAAAAGGCGTTCTGCGCGAAGACCTGCAAATTTTGTTAAAGATGATCAATAAAGCGGCAGATACTCAGAATGGCGATTTACACAATGCCGATTTTCATAATGCCGACTATTACAATGCCGATTTTTCATAATGCCGACTTTCATAATGCCGATTTTGCATAATGCCGATTTTAAATAATGTCGATTTACATAATGCCGATTTTCTGAAAGCCGATTTTACAGGATGCCGATCCTTATAATGAAGCCTTTGGAAGTGGCGCCTTAATAAAACGAGTGGGGGCTCACTCCCTGCAGGCCACGCCCCCTTTCCCCAGCCCCCCCCCCTCTTCACCAGGCCCCTTCCCGCGCCCAGATCGCTTTTTGAGTTATTTTAATATTTTTTTAATTATTTTAATTCATTGTTTAAATCCTTTAAAGTATCTGAAGCCATCACGAAGGGAGGGGGAGGGAGCGGAGGGGGGTAGCCGGAAGTCAAGCCACTTGCAGCGGCAATATAGGCATTGCACGAATTTTAGGACTTACAAATTTTAGGTCTATGAACACGCCGGATTTACTCGAAGCCTGCATGTTAGTTTACTGGTTTTTAGAAGCACTTTAATATCTTAGAATATAAAAATTAACAACTTTGTATTTGTGTGGGCCGTTTTTGGCGTTCCGCATAAAAAAGCAACAAGATTTTTCTCAAAGGTTTCGAGCGCAAGCTAAGTGTTAGACTATTCGTTGCAGAAAAATCTCTCGCATATTATTTCTATGCAAGTTTCAGGTTGCGCTCGAAATGCTAAAAATTCTAGATTTCAAAAAAGCTGTTCTTACTCTCCAAATTAACCAAGTACCGGCCATTTCGGTACTTCAAAAATCTTTGGCAGTTTGGGTCCGATATGAGTAGCATCTTGTTTATTAAATGATATCGTGGAACTCGATTATGGCGGCTTGAAGAACTCCTGTATTCGATCCGCTCAAGATTATCTTCAAAGCCGGGATTAGCACGTACCTGAAACGTCTTGTTTTTGATTTTACTATGTAGTTTGTATGGAAATATCCCGTGAAAAAAGGACTTACCGGAAATGTTCTTCTTCGATTTTGCGACGGGATCGATATAAGGCAAATCCTGATTTTCCGGAGTTCGGAGTGATTTTCCGTTTCCGGAGTTGAGTTCTCATACCTTTTCTCAGTATGTCTGAAATTCAAAAAATGAATATAATCGGACTGTATGACCTGCCTTTTGGACAACATACATTTTGGGTAAGTATTTAATATTATGGCATTGTAATAGTCGAAAAGCCCATAATGGAAGTGGCCGGTTTATAAATATTAAACGGATCCAAACGATAGCTATGCAATTTCGAAAGTCCTTAAATGGCGAGTTTAGATAGAATAGTAGTCTAGATAGAGAGAGAGAGAGAGAGAGAGCGAGAGAGAGAGAGAGAGAGAGAGAGAGAGAGAGAGAGAGAGAGAGAGAGTGATAGCGGGGCATCTCATACACAACTCTATTCACATACCTGTTTCTTTGATCAGCAGGATATTATCCGGCTTTATGTCGAGATGCACAACTCCGGCGTTGTGCATCATATCCAGAGCAATACCCACTTGTCGGTAGATGTGTGCCAGCTCCGAGAGCTCCAGTCCACCATCGCCGTCTGAGTAGAAAAACGGTCAAACATGAATATACAACTTACATTTGAAATGCGTTAAATCCATTCCATTGATGTATGGCATGGATACTAAGCAGATATCGACGTCGCGTAAAAGGAAACTATCTTGAAAATCATTAGTTTGACACGTTTGTTTGGTTCAAATACCTGATAAAAGTACCACTCGTTTGTCCAAATTTGAATGCCTAAGATGAGCACATATTTCGAGCTAAATTGTGTTTTAACACAATTGCAATCAATCAATCAATTGCAAGTATGCTGCCGTCGCTTCTTTCGCAATGAGCCGTTTCAGGGCTGGAAGTACTTTGCCTCTATAAAGCAAAATATTGGTCTATTTATTGAAAAAAAGCGATATGATTCTCTGTCTCCTAGATTGAACTTACTTGAAATGCTCCCGCTCCTCGCTGGCCAGAGCTCTGTAGCGCTTCCGTGACACTCTGTGTTGGGCCTTCCGAGTTGATGTCCTGGATACGCCCGTCTGTGTGGCGTACTGTGTCCTCGGAGCTAAAAGTGACTATGTGATTAGAAATCATATCAATACATGCTGAAGAATCTTGATACTCACCTGCTAGACGGTAACCGGGAGTCAGGCTGACTTGCGCTGCTAGTAGTGCTTTAAACGGGGTCCAATATTCCTCATAAATCTGCTGCGAGGCTAGCTGTTCTATGAGGTTTCTGAAAAAATTGACAATCTTATTCGAATCGTAATCTCTAACCAGGCGAATCTAAACACATACCTGCGTGCCATATCTTCATTTTTTCTGTTCTGCCTGTAGCGGTCGATTTCGATTCGAGATTAAAAACTTGAGTAAAAACACTTTACAGTGCATATAAAAGATATACTCACTGTATTGCATCGATAATCGGATAATCGCGGTCAACAATGCATGGTTTCTCCTCCACCTCATCCCAATTTACGGAAACTGAAGTCCAGTTTCCCCAATCGCGTAGAGGCGGCATGATCTCATGATCAGACATATTCAAGTAGTCGCAAATTTGCTGTAAAAAGGTAAAAAATATTATACGATATTCCCGATCAAAGATAAAAAAAGGATCGTAATTAAAATGCTAACTAAAAGTTTTAAAAATTAATTTTTGGGGTTAAAATTGGAGTCAAAGTAGCCGACCCTCAAAAATTATCTCCAAAACTACTGCGGGGGGGGGACTTTAATTTTTTAAAATTAGCATAAGTTTCTCTGCTCCCTCCTGCCTCGGCCCCTCTCTTCTCAGTTCTTTTTAGCATTAACATTTCCGGTTGGATCATTGCCAAATATAGATGATCCCAAATCCACTGGGTCTTCTTTATACCTTTAGTAGCTTACCTTGGAACAAACCCAAGTCGACTCCGGGGAACAGGTCCATCGACAAAATGAACCGTCCCTGATTTTTCATGTGGATGCCGTCTATACATATAAAAAATAAGCATTTTAGAACGATAGACTAACCTCTGATGACGACCACATATTCGCACTGGCCCCTCAGGTGATCGCAAATTCAAAGCTCGAAAATCCAATTTTAGAGTTATGTCCTCATAAAAAACCTCCGTCCGGACCCTCTTCACCTCCCTGGCCCGTCTTTCAGGGTCGCGGGAGAGGATCATGAGTTTAATGGCCAGTGTAGGTAGTGGAGCTTCCCGCTCCCATTTATAGACTGTACCCTGTCCACCTATGATAAATCAATATCAACTATTCATAAAAAACAAAAACTACCTCCGGCGACGTGGGTGAACTCGCCGGTGTCCCCCTCTCCTCGTACCTTTTTTCGAAAACTTTGTGCGGGAAGCGCTGAAAGTCTCCGAGCATTAGATTCGTCATAGTTTTTTCGCTAGAAATAATTGAATGCGTGAAATATTGGGTAAACAAAAACCACCTCCGGCAAGGTATATGAATGCATCACTTTCAATGCCGCCTAGCACCATTTTATGAAAGTCTTCCCGCGGGAAACGCAAAAAGTCTCCCATCGTTAAATCCGTCGCGCTTTCTTGCGTTTTAAGTGTGTCTTTTCTTGCTAGAGATGATTGAATTAATGGATTAGTGGGTAGGTGCGGTTACGGACTCCTCTCGGTGGGCGCCTTGTCGCAAGGCCCGTGTCGCAGATTTTCGCGACACCTAATCAAGCATGAAATCCAACTCTGAATTTTTTACCTGACATATTTTCCAGCAAAATGTTGTCTGGCTTAATGTCGAGGTGCACAATACCCGCTCGGTGCATGCTATGGAGGGCGTCCGCTACCTGCCGGTAGATATGGACTAGCTCCTCCATCTCGAGCTCCCCGGAGTTGTCTGAGAAAGAAAGGAGGTAATGCTACCCGAAATCATTAACTTACACGTGTAATGGTCGCGGCCATGTACAAGCTCAGTAGTATATAGTCCGACACACCCCCCACCCCCTTATTGACAGCCGGTCATCAGAAAGACCCCCCACATCCGCCCAAGGCGGTATCAGAAACACCCTACAGCCTGGGGCAAGAGTAAGAGATCGAGAAGAGAGAGAGAGAGAGAGAGAGAGAGAGAGAGAGAGAGGAGAGACAAAGAGAAGGTCAACGAGAGGAAAGAGAGAGGAGAGAGAGAGAGAGAGAGAGAGAGAGAGAGAGAGAGAGAGAGAGAGAGAGAGAGAGAGAGAGAGAGAGAGGAAGATGGCCTGGGCCCCGGAACGGACTCCGGGCCTCACGGAGACTCGCATATTTTCATTTTTTTTTTACACTGTTTAGAATGTGTATCCCTAACATTTCAAAGTTTACCGCATCACCGGTCACTTCAGGTCAACAGGTCCCATGTACCCTGAACAGCTGCCTGGAGGGGATGGGCAGTACCCTTGAGGCCGCGCGGCAGCTCCGCCCAGAGGGGTCCATGTTTACGAATTGCGCAACACTATCGGCACCCTCGATGGATGCGAGGGAGGATACAGTGTAATGTGGACTGACCTAGATATGGCCTGCGGCGCCAGGCCAGAGGAGCCAAAAATAAAGGGACCAACCAGAAATATGGATTCGGAAAATATGAAACTTTGTGTTTTACAAATAAAAAATTGCAAATAAATTTTACAAACACATTTTACAAATGCATTTTGCAAATAGATTTTACAAGTGTATAATACAAAACAGATTCACAAATAGATTTTTTCATACTATGATGATTATACACGAGTATCTTTCAAACTTCATTTCCTTTAAAAGGAAAGAGAGGGAAAGGACTATCGAGGCTAATGGAAGGTGCCAACTTCCAGCAAGTGGTGTCGATACCCCGAGGTGCCAATTCCCACAGATTTCAATCGCCCCGAAAGGTGCCGTGTTTACTAATGATAAAGACCATAGGATGGGCTACCGCGCAGCTTTGATGTCGGGAGGAGACGACGATCAAAGAAGGCTAAGCTATTCTTTATTACATTCGCCCAACCAGCCCCTACATACCTTAGCCTTTTTATTTTGCATCTTTTAACTCCCAGATCTCTCTCATTCTCTTCATTAACACTCACAGGCCACATAGAAGCGCGCTTCAAATGGCCTCCTTCGATACGCTCTTTGATTGCCACCGCGATCTACAGGAAGCGTTTTGGCCGCATCCTATTGATGCTTGAGATGCCCTGATACAAAGGTAAGCCGTAATTTTTTACTCAAATTTTGGGACGAGGCGGGTCTATCTGAGGTCTGATTTGGTAATGTGAAAAAACAGAAATTTGTCAGGCGGAGGCGTCGGGTCGGCGTGACCCCGAAGAGGACGATGACGATTCGCGTCGAGGACACGGACACCGACGACGACGAGCGAATCCTGGAAGACCCATTCCAACGAATCGAGCTGGACTTCCGGTCGTGAAGTCAACCGGGCAACCGGACGGTCAAAATCAGGTGTGTATTTTATCTCGAAAATGAATTTTTAATGTGACTTCCAGTATCTCATTTTTTATAGATCACCATGACGATGGAAAGGCAGGACTTTGTGATTGACAATGAAAATGCCGCTCGCCAGGGCCAGAAATGATCTTTGGTGCGTTCAGGGAAGTACCAGTTTACACTGACCGACGCGCTAGTCTTCCCAATTTGTGGCGGAACTCGCCATCACATCCCGATGGCTGATACGATCATGAGCAGATGAGCGAAGCTTCCTTCTGGCGCGCATCTCACAGGTCCTGCGCGAGAGAATCCTATATACCTCAATTTTCGTACATGGTAGACAGACTCACCGTTCGATCAGATTTGGCAGACCTTTGTGATAATCCCGGATCTGTTCAATGTTATCGTAAAAACGCCCGATTTTGAAGTTCCTCAGCGCGGCTATTTCCACCTCTATCTATGCGGACAGCGTATCACACCATCGATTCTGGTATGTAATTGGCGTGAACACGGCGCTCCCGGAAGCACATTTCCCCCAATAGGCGCGGCGAATGTTTCTTGTAACTGCGACCCCAGAAGATTTAGTCCTCATCGATAATTACCGCGCAACATGTTAAAATTGTGTATTTTTAGGAAATCCGATAAACATTTTTTAAATTACAAAATATTCTATTTATTTTACAC